TTATTTAACCACACACACTGTTAAGTTTTCCCGAGCACAAAAAATCAATTTCCTAGAGCAACAGTGAATATGACTGGCACCACATGAGGAGCAGTTGAATTCATAGATACAAGAAGAGGTGACTGGCTAGCTTAGGTACTTTGTCTTTCAATTAAGGGATAACAACCCGTCGTGTGTGTGAGGACCCCAACCAAGAAGTCTACACCTCCCTATGTGGCTGGCTTAAACTAACTGTTGTGGATTTCATTGAATGATGAAGCCATGTTTTGGTTTGACCAACACTAGCTCTTTTCCAGCCTGATCCATCCTATGTCAGCTAACATTGCCCGTCCAGGAAGGCAGTGGCTTGGCACGCACGAAAACTATCCCAACCATCTCAATTGACGTAACTTCATAACCGCATAGAATGATTTTCCCTTCTTATCTGACATTCGACCGATCCCTCACCTCAATATTACTCACCCTATTATACCACTTAACACGGGAAGTAGAGCACAGACTCGTATGATCAAGGACAACTGGCGTTTTTCATATCTTCCTTTTTCAATGACCATGTCTCACTGACAGCCATAAACGAAGACAGAGTGAACTGGTGTTGTGCAATACACAAATCTTTTGATCGATATTTGGATATCAAATTTAAACCAAAGATGGCATAAGTTTGGAAATGCTATACAAGCTCTGTGTGCAAGAGAAATAGGTCCATCCTGTATTCCTAAACCTGGCCCACTGTGGAATCGATAATTTCACATGAATTCTATATTATTATTATCATTTTTCGAGTATTGTTTCTGTAGTGATTTTCTTTGATTGATTGTGGGATTTCATCATGAGCTGACATCATTTAGAGAACCACTGGAAAACCTGGGAGTACTGGACATGAATTTGCAGAAGACAGAATCCATGCACTGGCTATTGGATCGAGTCCGATTGGCTTTATGGTCTGAAACCCGCTAGCTCTGTAACCAGAAGGTGCTTATTTCGAACCCCGTGCTGTGTATGCGTACTGATGAAGAATTCCAAATTGGGACGAAAAAGATGTATATTATTATTTCTCTTAATTCGGTGGATATTCAGTCTGTTTATTGTTATATACTGATGCATATTACCGCCTGCAGACGCTTTTGAACTTTAATCTATCAATGTTGTTCATAACAATAATTCTTTAAATATAATGGACATATTGTGGTGAGGGCTGGCTGCTAGCCAAATTGGTAGACAATAATTTACGTCAATGTTTACGTCCTCAATATTGGTTGTGGGAAAAATATGAACAAAGACTGATTCAACAACCAACCACAGCAGAATTCACGTAGGCGGATACAGTTAGCATATAATAGATATGATCTGACATTCAAGAAACAGCCACAAAGAGGTGAAAGATTAACTTTCAGTGAGAAACAACCAATCAGAAGACTGTGTTTGTTTGCTTACAATAATCTATAATAATGTACATGAAAATCTATAAATATGTGTTGATTTCCTAAATAAACAATCTGTTGCCTGGCCCCTGGTCTTCTTTTGTTACAATATAACTGCAGATTCTGGCGTAGAGGAAGTGATCGAAAAGAGTGACTTGACTGGGTTTCAATGTAGAACTTTGCATAAAAGTTCAGTAATTTAACTCGCCACACTTCACTCAAAAGAACGATAGTTAGCAGAAATATAAGGGAAAAACAATAGTATCTTGGAAAAACATGAGGCTATAATGGCAACGGGGAATCACATAGGGTGAATGCATCGCTATCATCATTGAGAATGATTTTGAGCCATATCACTGATTGTTTCCAATCGTCATTGGTTCTTAACATTCTGATGACCCCAGTCAGGAAGTCTACACCTCCCTACACATAACTGGCTAACACTAACTGTCAAGGCTTCTTGTAGACATCGAGAAGAATATTCTTTTTTCACTAAACTCACTCTTAAAAGTTATATAATGGACATCTTTAACAAAATGGAATGAATATGTAGGTTTCCTGTACAAACACACTAGTGTGTTTAACTTCTCATCTTCTTTCCATTTTACACTACAATTCAACATTGAAAGGTCCCCTGTTCCTGACTTTCCAATTCATAAGTGAATTGAAGAATTGCCTCCACCTTTGAGTTAATGTGTTCGAAAAATCTATCTATATCTTGTGTTCTAAGTACAGTGAATGTGTCACCTACATACCTTCACCACACTTCGATGTGGGAGGGGGCAGAACGTTTCAATCGTTATGTTTTCCCACCTATCCATGAAGATATCTGTCATAACCGAGGATATTGGTGACCCCATGGTAACTCCCTCAGTTTGTTTGTGTATTTCCCCTTGGAATTTAAATACTGTGGAAGTCAGGCATAGCTGCACTCCCAGCATTATGTTCTCTAGTGTGGCACTTTCGTCCTAATTTCGAGTTCTTGGTCAAAAATGAGTTCGTTTCTGACTGCCTCTACAGCCATACATGTTTATAAACTGACAGTGTTAAAACTGACCATTTTCTCTTCATTATCTAATTTTAAATTATCTAAACTGTGTTTTATTTCATAAGAATTAGTTAGTCTAGATTTTGAGTGGCTTTTTAGAGGATTTAATACCATGGCTAAATATTCAGATAATTCATAGGTAGGTGAATTCCTAAAATCAACTATAGGTCTAATAGGGTATCGTGACTTATGAACTTTAACACCACCATACATTTTAGTGGGGTTATTAGTTTTGGGCATTAAATTAAACCATTTAGACTCATCTAGAAACTGCTTCATTTGGAGTATAAGGTCCACTGTGGATTCCTTAACCTGATTCATAACGGTGTCTCTTGATTTCCTAATTTCGTCATATGGTCCTTCTCCAAATAGTCTTGTGGTGAGAGCAGGCCGTGAGAAAATATGAGCAAGGCTGATTCAACAACCAATCACAGCAAAGTTAACGTGGCAAAATATGATTCGCAGATAGAGAACTCTATTTGTCGAGGAATCCCGAAACAACCAATCAGAAGCCTGCGTTTGTCTACTTGCATAAGCTATAATAATGTATGTGAAATATGTATAAATACGTGTTGATTTTCATAATAAAACGATCTGTTGCCTGGCCCTTGTCTTCTGTTGTTACAGTCTGATTTCTCTAATACTATTGTTGCATTTGATACAAGAATAAAACTTGTGTACTGTGGTAGAGTGTAATTCCATTATGGGTAAAGTCTCACAGTGTTATACAGTAATGTTTACTGATGACCACCACACGATTTCCTAACTTCATTTATATAGTTCCATTATTTTTCACTTGATTTGATTGTTTGTAGTATTTTCCATATTTCGGGTATGAGTGATGAATCATTCCTATTGCATGTGTTGAGTGTAGACTCGATGAACAAGGCAGGATTCAGTAATCAACCTTTCTCACTCTCCACCTACCTAGATTACTTTTTAGAATTTTAACCCTCTCTCACCTTATTGCGCGGTCGCGTGTTAAATAACTATCCTTTAAAATTCATTAGGAAGATCACTAAAGGCCAAAAGAGAAAGAAAAACAATTGTGAAACTAGTAATAATAACACAACTAAGAGAGAATATAAGTCATCTACAGTTATACCATATAAAGAGGGGACATCTGAGACACTACGTAGGATTCTGAATAAAATAGGAATTAGGGACAAGCCCTGTAGGTTAAAGGACCCAGTTGACCCAATTAGACAAAATAATATTATTTACAAAATACCATGCAATGACTGTGAGTGAGGTCAACTACATAGGTCAAACTAGTAGGTCAAGGGTAGTCAGATTGTCAGAGCATAAGAATTTAGCTAAGGTAAGAATGGTTGACCCCACCGGAGAAGATAAGTGATTTAGAAAAAAGCTCAGCAACTGCAATGCATGCATTAACACACAACCACACAACAGGGTAAGTGGGAGAGGGTTAAAATTCTAAAACGTAATCTAGGTAGGTGGAGAGTGAGAGAGGTTGATTACTGAATCCTGCCTTGTTCATCGAGTCTACACCCAAGACATGCAATAGGAATGATTCATCACTCATACCCGAAATATGGAAAATACTACAAACAATCAAATCAAGTGAAAAATAATGGAACTATATAAATGAAGTTAGGAAGTCGTGTGGTTATGATTATGAGTAACAATAAATTGTGCTGGAAACGTGGTCATCAGTAAACATTAGTGTATAACACTGTGAGACTTTATCAAAACAAAATTTACCCATAATGGAATTACTGTTGCATTTCCTTTGTCTGATTTAGTGATTACTATATCCTTGTTATTCTTAAGGTTTTCCAAGGCCCTAAAAATACCTAAAGAATAACAAAGTCTAATCAAAGTTTCTCTCTTGATTTTATTTCGAATAAAATGCTTTACTTACAAATAAAAGTAGACACAATAAAATAAAAAGTTTCAAAAATTTTGCGGTCAAAATGAATGATATTAGTACAAATAAAGACGATAAAGTAAGTAAGTAATCACCTTAAGTAGGTAGTGAAATTAGTGTAAATAACTTATAAATTTAAATAAGTGTCTCTAAAATCCAGCACTCTATAAATCTTGAAGATGTTTGAAATTACCACACAAACAACATTAAACACATAAACTGGCAGGCGGGTGGGCGGGCGCGCGCAAAAATGGCGAATGATGATTGGTGCATTAAAACAATTGTTGAGTTTTTTTTGTTCATTGATCATTGAACTCCACCACAATATGAATAAATGAATAGTAGAAATGAAAAAAAAACAACTGAGATCAATTCATTGTCTGTCTTGATCGGCTCAGATCAATTTATCATTGTTAATAATAATATCTGAATAATCTCTGAATTAAAAACAGGAAATGATTGTTTCTAGTAGATGGCAGGTAGGACAGAGAAAGGATGGATGGTAAGTAGGTAGGTAGGGAGGGGAGGGGAGGGGAGGGACTTTGTTTACAAAAAACAGGGTGGACGGGGGGAAAAGAAATATCAGAAAGCGAAAAATGTTTTTCCCCTTCCTTCTCTTCTCTTCTCTGCTTGTCTCGTATTAACAACAATCACTGTGTGGTTTGGAGTCATCTTGTCCAAAATGTATTGATTTATTTGCTAATGAGGCAGCTAATGCAGCATTATGACCTTGTTTAACACCATCCCAAATACCGGCTGCGCATAACTAGAAAAGAAGAAAAAGAGGAGAGGATGATGAGGTGACAGGAGAAACTGTCGTTCCTATTGCAGAAACACAAGACACAATTTGCGTGAGTCATTAAAACTTTTAACATAATAAGATACCTGATGATATTAGATGGTAGTTGGAGGAAATTGGTCACAGGAAGCCTTGACTAGACCTAGGTTTCGTGCTAGTTGTCACTCATCAGCCATCAGTCAGTCAGTAAGGCGTGTCTGCAACCGTGAAGGAACTCAAATCCCTTCTGATATTCGAACCGCGTCACCCAGTGCGACCAATCGCGAGCCCAAATAGCTCAGTAGTAACGTTTCTGACTGCAGCTGTCACTGGGTGACGCCGCGGGTTCAAATCTCAGAAGGGACATGAGTTCTTTCAACGTTGTAGATACGCCTTACTGGCTGACTGATGAGTGACAACTAGCACGAAACCTAAGTCGAGCAAGGCTTCCTGTTGCCAACTGCCTCCAACCACCTAATATCATCAAATCAATGCGCACCGTGATGGCGTCCAGTTACAGGACTGGACTACATCGACGCCTAGTTTAAAAATAGGAAGTGAAGTGGTAGAGCACGTTGACCGCTTCACTTGTTTGGGTAGTACCATCAGCCAACACCAACGGGTTAATCTCTGACGAAATCTCAGCACGAATACAGGGGGCTCGTTTCGCATTTGCCAGTTTACGCCGACTCTGGCGTAGACGAGATGTTCAACTATCGACCAAAGGGCGGATGTACTGCTCATCAGTCCGCTCCGTCCTCCTTTACGGCCAGCTGTGAGACCTGGTCACTGAGAGTGGAAGACATGAAAAGACTAGCTGTCTTTGATCATAGGTGCCTGCGCTCTATTTCCCGTGTAAAGTGGCATAATAAGGTGAGCAACATTGAGGTTAGGCGTAGAGTTCTAGGTAAACAGGGGAAATCAATCGACGAAGTCGTGAAGCTACAAAGACTGAGATGGTTAGGACATGTGTTACGTATGCCAAGCCATCGCCTCCCTCGACGAGCAATGTTAGCGGATATAGGGTCAGGCTGGAAAACAGCTAGCCATGGCGGTCAAACAAAAACTTGGCATCAGTCAATGAAATCCACAACAGTTGGTCTAAGCCACGTAGGAAGGTGTAGACTTCCAGGCTGGGGTCCTCGGGACGGTAAAAATCTATGGTTGGAAACAATTGGTGACATGGCTCAAAACCGTTCTCAGTGGCGCAGATGCATCCACTCCTTGTGACTTATGATCTCCAATGAAACTGTTTTGTTCTTCGTTATTACTTCTTTGTCTCACACCTCTGCTCACTGTCTCTATTATGCTTTTCTTGTACTTTCTTCTCTTGCTTCGCGTGGTACACGGAGTGTTTTGACTTGAACTTCCGCACATTTGTGCAAAGTTCTATGTCGAAAACAGACAGACCGTGATGGCGAGCTACCTAGTAGCGTGGTGGCCAGATTGCAAACCTGACTGATAGCATTCAGTTTGAACCAAAGAAAGGACTAGACACGTCGCACTGGTTACTAGTGTCCAATCAAAATAATAAGAGACCATTGAAAACCAGGGAGCACTGGACAGCCAGCTGTCTAGTCTTAGTCTCGGACTCTTCATCAGTGAATACCCAAGACCTCACAAGGGGGTCGAATCCGGTTACGAAAACAAGCTCCTCGACCGGAATTCAATGACCCATGAAATCTAGCTACCCTTAGCCAATGCTATAGATGAGTACCCGCTTCATCTTAACACGGGGCAACTAACCGGTCATGACTTCAACGTACAGAGCCAAGGTATATCTATCCGGTAGCCACTAATGAGCTAGTTCAAAGAAAGAAGAAACATTGGCGCTGAATAACCTATATCCATTGTATTTCGTTGGTTCTCATCAACTGTGTACAACTGCATACAATCTTTAATAAAATAAGTCAGTGTACCATTTTAACATACTTTTGTCTATCAACAGGCATACTGTAGGAGCATCATAGGGATATCCTGGACTGACGTGAAGAACCTAGAAGACCTGGATTTCGCGCGTGGATGATTTATGTTTGATGTCACACAAAACCGAAGACTTACAAGCGAAAACCGACAAACTGGTCGAAGAAGCAGCCAGCGAAGACAGGACTCCAGGTGAACATAGACAAGACGGAGGTTATGGAAATAACCAACCAACAACAACAACAACAACAGCAGCAACATCCAATCACCCACAATCCCCATCAACAGGAGGGATTTGAAAGAGGTTACTTCATTCATTCACTTATCTAGGGAGCATTGTTTCAACTACAAGAGGAACGTACAAGGATGTCAAATCGAGATTCGGGTGGTGGGCGAGAAACACATTCATCAACCTGAAAATATATCTGGATACAGTCAGTAAGAAACCAGTTTTCATCAAACTCGACTTCAAAGGCGATGATAGTATGAGAGTCACATAAATAAAAGATTAAGTGTAATCCTGTCCACGACGTATCCTGCAGCAAAACTAACCTATCTTCTCTGAACATCCTCCTCGTTGGTATAGTCAAATATCAACAAGTACCCCCATATGTTACTTCCAACTGTGTATATACCAATTCACATGTATCTGCAAGAGCAGTTACATTGGAACAACAGAAAGAAGGGTCTATTTAATATTCTTCGAACATGTACAAAGGAGTTTCCGGTTAGAGGGTTCAAACAGTTTAAGCTCTTCAATCACCCAACACCTGATAGATGCAGGACGAAGACACAGAGTAGATGCGCATGGATCATTCAAAAATAATTGACAGACAAAATGATTCAAGTCTTCTTCAGTTTGCTGAGGTTATCGCAATAAAACAGCTGAAATCTGACCTACATGTCCCAAATGAATATGTCGTTGGACGTCAGTTACGTAGGCGGCCTATCCCTTAATAACTCTTTGTCTTCTAATTTTGTTTCTAACTTCTTTACACCACCCCATCCACCCCCATCTTATTTTCGTTTGACTTCTATAAGAGTTAATTTCTCGTGACCTTCTAAGTTCTACTCATCATACTACGTCATCATCATCTTTTCATTTGACCTCTTGTATATGAAATTTTAATCTTCTCATATCTAACTACGTATTATTATTGTTTCCTTTAGTTCCTAGAGGAACATAAGGGTTCAGCTACACGTCTCCATTGCGTTCGGTCCTCTGCCAACGTTCTCACCTGGCTCCACATCTACCCACATGCTTTTATCTCCTCTTCACATCACCTTCTCCTCCTCCATGTCACTCTCGCACTGACGATTAACTCGCGCCGCTTTCAATTCGGTCGGATTCCACTCGAGCAATGGCCTGGCTTGTGATGTCACTTGATGGTTTGTTTTCTCAGAGTGTGGCTAGCCAATCCACCTCGATTTCTTCCTACATATTTGTTCCACAGCTGGTTCCTGTTGGGTTGCTTCGCTCATTGCTAGAGATCCCTGTTGCTGATGTTTTCTGGCCGGCAATCTGATGTTGAGTAGGACTGAGCGAATATAGGGTTTGTAGTTTGTTTCAAGTGCCCTTCGTCACTCGCCAAATCTCTGCTCCATATAGTAGCACTGACTGACTTCACATTGGAGTTGAAAATCTGGATCTTACTCTTCATGCTGAGTGTTGATCACACAGACTTGAGAGTGATGAAAGCTTGCCTTGCCTTCCAGATACTCGCTTTGACAGCCGCATCAGTTCCGTCTGCCTGTAGTTGAAACAATGCTTCGCAGGTAGGTAGGTGAAGGCAGTAGCTTCTTTCAGATTTCTCCCATTTATGCTGATTGTTGTCTGTTGCTGCTATTGCTGTTGGAAAAGAATCTTCATCATATACCTCTGTTTCCTCTATGTTCACCTGAAGTCCTTCCTATCTTTGATGCTTCTTCTACCAAATTGTTGCTTTTCACTTGTATATCTTCCAGTTTGTGAGAAATCAGACATATATCATCGGGGAAATCCAAACCCTTCAAGTTTTTTTGTGTGGGTCCATTTTATGCCTGTCTCCTCGTCGCTCGGCCCGCTGTCTATCGCATTATCCAGTTTACCGCCATAAGGAAAATTATTGGAGATAGTAGACAGCCAGTCAGCTTTGTCATACTCCAATCTTCACTTCGAAGGATATCGTGAGTCTCCCGTTGTAGATTACTTAGGATGTAACATTATAGTATAACTGTTGAATGAGGTATACAATTGTCGGTGGTACCCCCCGTAGTAACTACGTAACTGTTACTAATTTTTATTGCCACGCTAGGAAAACATTTGCCAATTAATTTTCACGAAACTTCTCCCTAACAAGATGCGTGTTGATAGACAAAAGTATGTTAAAATGGTACACTGACTTATTTTATTATAAATTAAACACAGTTGTACACAGTTGATGAGAACCAACGAAATACAATGGATATATGTTATTTTGAGCCAATGTTTGTTTTTTCCCTGCTAAAATTGAGAGAAGGGAATACTATTATGAAATGGACTAGAGATTGATATTTAGTTCATGACTAATATATGTGTAAGACTTGGGCACTGTGGTAGTAAGTAATTCCATATTAGTTTGTTTATTATTGGATGTATCACACAGTGAGTGAAACAGTATTGCTATTTACTGGATGACACGGTTTCAAACAAAATCTATTACTGTTTATAATCATTTCATCACTTATAATTACACGACTTCGAAACTTGAGTTTTATAGTCGTGACCAGTAGGGTGCAGCTGGTCGGGTGTGAGGACAAATACTCGCCGAAGACATTGGCTAGCGGTCGCGCTATGTCGTGAATTGGCAGAAGTTAGAATTCAAAGACCATTGGATTGGGTCCCAGTGGCTTAATGTTATACGAGCTCGCCTTGTAACCGGAAGGTCCTGGGTTCGAATCCCGGTGGGTGCGTACTGATGAAGAGTCCCAAACTAGGACGAAACAGCTGTCCAGTACTCCCAGGTTTTCCAATGGTTCTCTAACTACTGTCAGCTCATGATGAAATCCTGAAACCAATCAAATCCCTACAAACCAACACTTGAATA